GTAATAACCTCATGACCCCCTGAGGGGTCCTGACCCCCAGTTTGAGAACCCCTGGTCTAACACAACTAAATCCCCACATGATGCTTTGGAAATGTCCCTTTTGGGAGCTGGCATAAACTATCAACCTTCCTCCCCCGCCCCCCCACAATAGAGTGATAAAGTCACACTGCATCACCACCTCCTTTCCCATTTGTTCCTGGTAGAGATAGGTTCTGGCTCTGGCATCTGAAGCTCTGTAATGTGAGGTGATGTTTGGATCTAGGTGTTCAGTTTGAAGCCATTTCCCTAGTACAGCTGTAGAGATCTCAAAACAATTCTACAGAGCGAACAATTCATAGCCAGAATGGGTGAGTTGCATAAAGTTATAATTACATGGGTTTTGTCAGTTGGAACAAACTTAACATTATTAAATTAGTTAATTATGTCTAAATATCCTTTTTTATATATTTGTGTGGCCTGACTCGTTTGTCTCTTGTGATTGTTGAAATTTCTTTAATAGTAAATGAGAAAACTTTATAATCCCAGAAAGACAGGCGGGGAGCTCACATAAAAATATTATAAAGTGCTGAAACAAAGACAACTCTGTTGTTTGAAAATCGATGGTCTCTGAACAGGATGACAGAGACTGTTATTTCATCCCCCTAAAAGTTATTGCTGTAATGGAACGTCCCACATGTTATCTGCCTTGCTCTGAAGATGAAGGGTCTAAGCACAGGGCAATATCTTTTATGGATGAGAAGTCCTGGGGAAATTGGTGTGTCCCAGCTGTGAGTGTTAGGACATGGTTCAGGGCTTTGCCAGAACATTTCAGGGGGACTGACATTATAATCACTTAAAGCTGGTTATTTCGCCCATTCAAATTGGAACTTCGGTAGCTGTTTCACCACATTTTAGGTCTGAGCCAAAGCCCAAAGTCAACGGAAAGAGTCCCACTCACTTCAACAGACTTTGGATGTGGACTGTTATCTAGCATGGTTTGGAGCACAGGAAATGCACTTTCCAGGAGAATGACCACCCTGCATTGCTAGGGTGCACATTGTAAACCCATATGGATGTGGATGATGGGTATAATTTGTGACACTAAAAGCTTAGGGTGGGATTTTCAAAGATGATCAGCATTAGCCTAATTCCGCTGCCCTTGAAGTCAGTGGTAAAACTCTCATTGACTTAACGGGAGCAGAATCAGGCCAGTGCTGAGTGCTTCTGAATATCTGTAAGGCTAGAATTTTCAAAGAGGGACTAGGAGAGATGGGCAACTAACTTTCTTAGACTTCTTTGAAAATCCCACCCTAAATCCATAATTTGTCAGTTGAGCACCCTACGTAGATACAGCAAGTACCATTCCAAGTAAGCGGAGCGCCAGCATTTGTCCCAGAAAGTGCTGAGAATACGAATGTGAATGAAATATATTAGACTTTCACAGGAACCAGATAAGCTGTATTTGTTTATTTCACAAAATACACCCAATTACGCATTCTGGGGTGCATGTGTATTTGACCATTGGTTACACAGCAAGAGAAAAAAATAATTCCTCAAAATTGAGCAATCGCTAACTTTCACTCCCCACACAAGAACCTGGGAAAAGAAATGGGCATCATGCCCTAAAGGACAAACATGGACTTAGTCAGACCAGTGCAGGAAGTAAATTCCAGAGATTAAGATTTTCCAATAAGAACATTTAGAACCCAGACAATTACATCTAGGGCTGTTAGCTGGTGTACCCTAGTGACCTCAGAACCAGAGAACTTTCCAGTGAAATGCAATAATCTAACCTAGAAGTCACTGAGGCAGAGATCACAGTGGTGACATCCAGATCCGAGAGAAAAAGCTCACAAAAATCTGGCCTGGCATAAGTGAGAAAAAGGGGTTTGAGGGCACCAATGGCACCAGTGATTCCAGGAGGAAACAGGGATCCAAAAGCACTTCTGTGAACTGCTTTGGAACAGAGAGAAGAGACCCACCTCACTGATGCAGATGGAACCACACCTCCACTCCACTTATTACTTATCCTCAAGATCCTTACCCAACCCATTCTGGGACAGATTTTCAGAAGGGCTCAACACACAACATGCTGAACTCTCTTGAAAAATCTGAACATATGGAACCTATGCCTGTCCGGATTAAACATCCAAATCTTGCCCAGCAATTGGGTTAGACTGAAAATCCGTGTCATCCACAACCCATAAGAACAGGACAGAGCTGCATGACATCACAACATAGAAGTGATACTATTACCCAAGTCATTTCAGTACCTTCCTCAGCAGCTCCACATATACATTGAACAGGAGGGTTTTATAGGACCTTGTGTAAGCTAAATATCCCATACAAGACATCTAGCAATCACTCCAAACCAATCTCTAGGTGGAGAGCGGGAGACAGATGGCCAGACTGCTAGAGATACGGCATATTTATGTGAGCGGCGGCCTAATCACCCATATGTGAAGGAAGCTGGCAACCTGCCTTCCCACAGGGAAGTGATAACAATCTTAATGGGCCAAATTAAATTTATAGAGAATGAATGAATGCACTAGAAGGAAAAAGGAAATAAAATGTTTAGGATGAAAGAAGGAAAGAGAAGTATTTATCTGGGTATCTGACCAGTGCTATCTAACTAGCTACTGTCTAAGGCACTTCTACACCACCTCTCACCATGCCTAGCTAACTGTTGGCCTCTGTATACCACTGTGCACTGATTTCGTGCCAGGACCTGCATTGCAATGTTACTTGAGTTTCTCCAATTGGAGCTTCCCATTTCAGGAGCCGTACGTGTAATAAGGAACAGCCTTGATGGAATTCTTGGAGAGAACGTGCTGTGCACGTGCAGCAGCCACCTTGTTAATTAAACACCTCTGAGGTTTTACATTTTTCCTTTCCAGACTTGACTCTGCCCCATGCCAAAGACCAACCACCTGCCAAATTTTAGGTTCAAATCACACCTGTTCCTGAGTCATGAGTAGCTGAGTTATAACTTGAAAACAGCCAAATTGAGGCCAGCCCAGCAATATAGTGCTACCGCTACCCAAAACCATGCAGGGAATGCAAGTTCAAAGTCAGTCCTTTGCTTCAGGGCCAGCAGGGGCTGGGAGCACTGGGGAGCGTACTCCATTCTTGGGGCTGTTGATGGCTGTCTCTCCTCTTAGCAATGGCCAGAAGGAGCTGAGAGTGTTTGGTGAACAGAGGCACTGATTCACATTAACACTGCTGCAGGAGTGGAAGGGGACCGTTTACATGTTCCCTGTTCAGGGGCTGCAGGGTCTAGTGCATCACTGGTGCAGAGCTCAAGACTGCCCGTAGTCCTGATTCAGCGGGGTGCTTCAGTATATGCCTAACTTTAAGTGCCTTGCTGAGTCAGGGTCTTAAGTTGTGCCCCTGTTTCAATGTCCCCGTTGCAGGAGCATGGAATTGCCGGGGCTCAGGTTTGCCCCAGAGATGCCCCCCGCTCCCCTCGCTCACACTTGGAGCCCTCCTTCCTCTAACCTGCCCCCACTCTGACACCGCTGAACCTTCCGCCCTCCCCAGAACTCTGCATGCATCTGCAGCTGCTGCAGAGATGGCACAGAGCAAGCAGAACTGACTCTGTGCCTGGGCAGAGGGGCCTATGCATCTGTGGCATTCTCCAGGGGATTCATACCTGTCCTACAGCCCCTTTTGCACCAGTCTAGCTGGATCTATGGGCCCTCTTGGGCACCAGGAGTGCAGGGGAAAGAACAAAAAACCTACAATTCAGGGGCTACACCACAGTTGTAAGCCAGATCCCAGCCCAGAGTGAATAACAAAATCTGAGTTAGGAATGCCTGAAAACAGGGATTTCTCATGGAAAATGCTGACAGATCCCTAATTATGGTGGCACTACTCCAGCGCTGCTATAATAAAACCTACCAGCATTTGGTAACGCTCTATTTTAGTCCCAGGTGATGCGAAGGATTCAGTAATGTTTTAACAAATACCCATGAAACAAATTGGGGGTTGCACCTTCATGTAACAAGACATTACATATTGCTCCCAGCAGCACTTCTGAGGTCTTGGCATGACGTTCATTTCAGTTAAAACCATGGGAGTAGCCTGCCTCCACTGCAGATAGGCACCAAGATGTAGGTCAGGTTCTCTTCCCAGCAGTGATTAAAGCGGGAGAACCATGTTCTAGCTTTAGCTGTTTCTCTCTCCCCCTTACGTCTCCGCTAAGACTATCCCCTTAGGAGGATTAGAGTGTTCCAGGTCACAGTGGCCTCTAATGAAGAGTCCCACTAGCTGCCATCCTCTAAAGCTGTGTGCAAACTATCCTTCTTTCCCTGAAATGGCCCCACCCCTCTGTAGCAAATGGTGGGAGCACCAGTGTAGACAGGGCTAAGGCCACCCCTGAAATTTGAAACTGTCATGCTTGTCAGAGTGTGACAGGATGGGCAAAAAACCAGCGCCCAACTGAGCCCACCTGAGCCCTGACTACAATGGCATTCCCACCATTGCTGTCACAGCTGGGTGTGGCAGCCACGGGGAATTTTAGGGACATGAATGTAGTGCAGATGAGGTCCAAATGTCCTGCTGCTGGCTGCTTCCCCTGCTGGCTCCCAGCTTTCCCACTGTGACCCTGAAATCCTGCAGCACCCCTGCTGGTGGGAGGGAGTACTGTAAGTGGTGCGGCAGAGACAGAGGTGGAGCACCAGGGCAGATGGCCCAGTTCCGGTAGGAAGCATCTGCCCTTTAAAAGTGAGAGGAGAGGTGAGGGTAAGAGGAGAGGGAAGAAAGGGTTGTCTGGAGCAGTACTCTACTCCCCAGACAACAATTCTAGTCCCACAGTCCCTTAGACTCCTGCTCCTCCCAAATCTCTGTTTACCCCGACGGTGGGAGTCTCTGGCAGGCAGACCCAGCAATCAGCTCATCTGGCACTTGTAGGCTTTGCTAAGGAAACACAGAGATAGGGCCCAGAGCTCCTTCAAAAAGAGAAATGCCTCCAACCTCACGTCTCCCAGCCGAGCCCATTCCCGTGCATCTCAGGCAATTACCTCATGCAGGCTGGAGATGAAGCCGGAAGAGAGACTGGAGAGCCCAAAGCGCTTCTCAATGGTGGTCAGGCTGCTCTTGAAGTTAGCACTGTAAAGAAGCTGGAATAACTGGAGAAGGCCATGGCAAATCACAAACACCTGTGAGCAAAACATGACATTACAGTTAGTAACTGAGCGACGCCCCTACGGAGCCAAGAGCCACACCCCATGCTGGCGTGTAACCAAGTCAACAGTCGTGGCCACATCCGCTTTACAACCATCACACACAGCATGCGTAAACCTAACAATCAGCTGGGTCCAGGAGTCACCCTCACAACCTCATCTGTCAGAGGCCTTCATTTAGGAGTGATTTCATTATTAATTTGTTTGTGCATGGGCACAGTTCCCCAGCTATGTTATCTGCTCTCAAGGCCCCGTCTCTGCTACAGCCGACTGAGGAGACCAGGATGGAGCTCGGCTTCTGGATCCATTCGTCTTGCTTCTGGCTTGTTGGCACAGTGACATGAGGTCCATTCTCACGCTGGCCTGATTCCCCCAAAGGCAAGCATCCCCCTCTGCAGCACTCCCAGCTCACAGACTCAGAGACGAGCTATGGGCAGAGCTATGGCCAAGAACTATACGGGTTTCAGAGTAGCAGCCGTGTTAGTCTGTATTCGCAAAAAGAAAAGGAGTACTTGTGGCACCTTAGAGACTAACCAATTTATTTGAGCATGAGCTTTCGTAAGGTGCCACAAGAACTATACAGACCTCCTGCCTTGTGCAGGCTGAATGCTTTCAATGAGGGATTGTGGGAGGATGGTAAGAGCTGGTAAAGCGTGTCCTGAAACCTAGTTAAATATTCCTGTGCCGCCCAACAACTCCAGGAGAGTCACTCATCAGTTCTTTGCCATCTATAACAAGACAAAACTAAAGCTCCGTGTTATCTTCGTGGGTTTCCCTAGAGTTCTGTGTTCCCTGCTCCCTGCCGGCTAGCAGAATAGACCCTAGGCACACTGACTCCCTAGCTAAAGGGATCTGTCATCCTTCTTCCCTTGCGCCGATGCATCCAGAGCCCTACCCATGTCTCACCACCGCATGTCTGACATCTTTTGCTCCCCAATGGACCTCACAGCTGCAGAGGGGCTTTGAGGGAGTCACTGTGCTGGCTAACACCGAGGTTTCTAGGGTGCAGCTGAGGCCCAAAGCCAGCGAGACACGGCTGAGCAAAACTGGGGACACCATTACGGAGAAAGGAACTGCAGCAGGAGCAGCAGGCATGCCATGGCCAGAGGAGAGCGGTTCAGCACCGGCCCGCTGCAGTGTAACCCTACGTACTGCCTCTCTCCCACACGCTTTTGTTTTCTTTGTAGCTGACTAGCTGAGCAACGAAACCGGAGCTGCTCGGGTAGTGGCGGCATTGTACAATGGGTAGGGCTGGCCTGGGATCCTGGAAGCCTGTCTGCTGTTCCTAGCTGTGCCACTGACATGCTGTGTGCCCTTGGGCAAGTCTTTCCATGCCCATTTAAGCTGTAAAATCTGGGGCCAGGGACTGTGTCTTATTCTGTGGCTGTGCAGTGCTCAGCACAATGGGGCCCTGAGCTCTGCTGGTGGTGCTGAAATACTAATAATAGTGATTATGATTTTTAATAAAAAGTAAATTCAGAGTTAGACTCAGGAACCTATACATTTTGTTTTGACCGGTTTAGGAGCTAGGAATCCCTCAGTCAGCATTTTGCCTAGTAAGTTTCACCCAAGTGTACTCTTCCATGGCAAGGCTGGTGGGGGAGCCATTAGTGAAAACGCCATAGCAGGGGCTAGATCAGGCTTGTGGTAAGTATGAGTGGCTCACTCCCTATGTGGAGGCTGCAGGATGGGAAGGCTTACTCCTTCATACGGTGGGTGATGTGGTACAAGCTGAAATGGAATCTTCCACTATTGTGAGTGTGAGAAATTCTGCTGTGGGTCCCCTTCCCAGGATATCTGTGTGCTAGAACAAGCTGGACTTTTAACTCTGCCGGGAATTCTGGACTTTAACACTCTATGCAAGCAGTTGCTGGGCAGTCATGGCCTGATAAATGGTTTACTGCCTCGACTGCAGCTGCTTTACAGACCTCCTGTGACTTTTGCAGCTAAACCTGCTTCCTTGCTGCACCACCAGAACCCTGGAGTAGGAAAACGCATGGCAGGGGACTCTGGTTCTTTAGTAGCAGGCTGGCTATAGATGCTTATGAAGATGGAAAGGTCTCCTGAAAGGACTGCATGCATTATTCCTTCTTAATTAATTCATTAACATTTGTGCAGGGAATCGAACATGTAATTATGCAAGAGAAATGCTAAATATTATGACTCAGTAGTACTATGCATGTGTTCACTTTTATGGCTGCTGGGGATTAAGGATTATATACTGTAAAATATTTATAGTGTTTAATAACCTGGAATACATAGTTTTATTGCATTTTATCAGTTGCTGCAAACAACATATCCTTTTTTCCCTGCTGGGAAGTAATTGATTGAGTTTGGGAAGGAGTGTTGTCTAGTGGTTAGAAAAGGGGACAGGAAGTTGAGAATCCTGGGTTGTGTTCTTAACTCTGCACTGATTTATTATTTGTATTACACTGGTGCCCAGAGGCCAGGGTCCCATTGTCCTAGGTGCTGAACAAACGTCTAACAAAGAGACAGTCCCTGCCCTGCAGAGAGAGACTTATTGTGCTGTCCAAGCAAATAACTCAGTGCCAGATTCTCAACTCATGTATATCAGTGTAAAATGGAGTTGAAGATCTGGCCCATTATCATCAAGATGTGCCTCCATTTCAGTCATATATAAAACAGGTGAAACTATCCCGCATCTAAGAGGCCGGGTTATTGTTTGTAAAGAGCTTTAAGAACCACAGATGAAAGGGGTTGTATCCGTGCAAAGTATTATTACGACTTAAAGATCTTTATGGCATGACAAGAGAAGCAGAGAGCTGGGATCCCTAGGGCCACACTACCTATGGGGCCTGGCAGAGGAAACCAAACATATGGGCTAGCGCAACAAATAGAGAGTTGGAGAGGGAATATGTAGGCTACTTGGGGTGGGGCAGGAATATGATCAAAAGAGCAAGGGTAAAATACAGCAAGGAAGTCATCCGCTTCCGGAGATGGAATAGGACACTCTCAAACCTCTTTGATCTATATTTAGCAAGCTCCGTTTTCCTTTATTTTCTTGGGAATGTGACTTGTCCAAACTGTGCCAATACTATCTAAAAAATTATTAAAGATAGGGAAAAGTCTTTTTATGTAAATTCTCAGGAAATCAAATATTTGCCGGACTCCGGAAGAATGCCCAGCAAAGATAAAGTTGGGAAGCCTGGACCTGCACACTGGGGATGAAAGGTATCACAGTGCTAACAAACTCCTCAAGTCTGTGGCTGGGATAATAATAAGGATTATTCTCTATTGGTATGGTGGTAGCGCCTGAGAGGCCAGACACAGCTGTGAGGGCGGATGGGAAAGACCATAGGATCATAGAACAGAATCATAGAATATCAGGGTTGGAAGGGACCACAAGAGGTCATCTAGTCCAACCCTCTGCTCAAAGCAGGACCAATCCCCAACTAAATCATACATGGAGATCTTATGCAATGTTAATGCAGCAGTGTCCTCTGGAAATGAAAATGAAGCATGTGAAAGGAAACTGGTGATTTTCCCCAAGCTGAGTCCAAACCAAAACCCTATATCCAATCTTTATGTCTCTGCCATGAGCTGCACCAACACCCCAGATCCAAACAGCATGGAATCTGAAGGTTTCATATCTGGATCAACACCTGAACTTTCCCAAATTTCTTGGGGTGAAATCCTGACCCCACTGAAGTCAAAAGGAGCTTTTTCCATTGACTTCAGTGGGGCCAGGATTTCTCCCTGGGTGTTCAGATTTGGTTTATTATTACAGAGGTAGGTTCAAGCTGTGAACTTGGATCTGAACCAGGATCCAGATCTGGGGTTTTGGTTCAGGCTCCTTCGCAAACTCAAGAGTAAGGTTGCAGGATAAGAGGAGACTCCATGGGGACATAGATATCTGGTAGAGTGGATACACTAGCATGATTGCAGGCAGAGAAATTGGAGCCAGAAGAAAGGGAGAAGTGAGGGAGGGGATGGGCTCAAGAGGACAAGTTGAGGGTCAGAGGCCAACAATAGAAAGGAGAGCTCCGAGTCAAGTCTGGGCCAAAGGTGGCTTCTTGTGGAGAGGAAGAATCTCATTGACAGATCATGTTCAACTAGTTTTTGAAAATCCAGCTGGATCCTGCTTAAGGAGGGCTAATTAGGAAGCATTAGAGGATGGGGGCTGGGAGCACCGAAGGTACAGAGCAGCTGGTGAGAGTCTATGGTGCAAAGGGCTAGGCAAGAGAAGCAAAGCTGTACACAAAGGAGAGGGCGGAGCTGAGAGGATGAATTTACATGGAAAGAGTCAGCAGGCTCCCAAGCCCTTCTCCAAAAGTGCTCAGCAGCATGGAAAAAAACAGGAAGGTCCAGAGCTCTGGGGAGAGCCAAAGGTGGGCAGTGGAAGGGCGGACAGAGCTGGGAGATGAAAGCCCAGGCTCGGAGAGAAGAAAGGTTGAAAGCAGAAACCTTGATGGCAGCAGAAGACAGTGAGGATGGGGAAGGAAACCAAGGGCTAGATGCAGCAGAGGAGTCCAAAATGGAGAGACTGGACATCACAATTGACAGGATAGGGGAGAGCGGCAGATACACTTGTTGAAGGAGAGCAAGTGGTGATGAGAGAAGGAATTCTCTGCCCTCGTGCCAATGATCCCCTTCATTAGGAGTCACTGGCTGGATGGCAGAAGGAACCCTCTTGAGGGGTGTTGACAGGAATTGAATCCGTCTGACTCTCGTTGGCCAGACCCCTGACAGGCTAAGGCAGGGTTACAGAGGGGGTGGGGAGAGGCGTGACAGTGGGGCCTGAGGCAGAGAGTGATGCAGGGAGGGACCGTGGGGAAGGAGTGCCAATGGGGCCAAAGGCAGACAGATAGAGGACTGTAACCACTGCTAAGGCAGGGGAGTGCAAGCACTGGATAACACCTTTTCCCCCACTCCCCACTGAGTAGCAATGCAAAGTATGGGGGAAACTGAGGCACACACAGGATTCACAAATATATTATAGAAAATGCCCAGAGTCA